GGACGAGTCCGTAGGGCCGAGTGGCCCGTATCCAGAGCTTGTAGGCTGCCTCATGTACCTGATGACCTGCACTCGACCTGACCTTGCCTACCCTCTTAGTATGCTGGCATGCTACGTTGCGCCCGGGAGACTCCGACCAGAGCACTGGGAGGCCGCCAAGAGGGTGTTGCGCTACTTGTGCAGTATGTCAGGCATGGGGCTCGTGCTTGGAGGACGGGGTCCAGTTGTCCTCACTAGCCACGCGGGCGCTTCTTGGGTGGACGACTTGGCTACGCAGCGGTCGTCACAGGGTTACACTTCCAGCCTTGGCTCTGGCTCTGTTTCTTGGCGGTCTACCCGCTCTTCTTCTGTTCTCAATTCCAGTTGTGAGGCTGAGATCTACGCAGGGGCCATGGCTGCACAGGAGCTACGTTGGCTGACCTACCTTCTGACCGACCTGGGAGAGCGGCCTCGTTCTCCTCCAGTTCTGTACGTAGACAACAAGGCTATGATTGCCTTGTGTCAGGAGCACAGACTGGAGCACAGAACGAAGCACATCGCTCTGCGCTAATTCCTTGCTCGAGAGTTGCAGCAGCGTGGTCAGCTTCGTCTTGCTTACATGACCACTAGGGCCAACACTGCTGATATATTCACCAAGGCACTTCAGTCAGGTGATTATCAGCGCTTCTGTACTGTTCTAGGCCTTGTGCCTACTTTGCCTCACTTGCTCACTGCTTGACTTGCTTGTAGTGTGATCTATATATATACCTGCATGCTTTCACTTGCTAGGGTATGATCACTGTATTGTATGTTCTCTTTTATATAACTCTGCATGTGAACTGGCCTTGTGGCCCTTTGCTTGTGCTTGGACTGTGTGGTAACTTTGTGATCCACCCTGAGCTTGCTTTGCTTTTTTTGACTGGTCTTGTGACCACTTGTTCTCCCCCACTTTGCCTATGGGGGTGTGTCAAACTCATATCTAGCTTACATTGTGTAGGTTGTAGTGGGGTAGCCCATAAGGTGTACAACCCAATTAAGGTTAGTACTTGTACCCAACTCTTTCATAGTTCATTCATTCTCGTTCAGTATTCTGACATGTTTCTGCACCAATCGTAAGGATACAACTTCCTTCTTACCGTGTATTATTCTCTTTGACTTCCTTTTCTGCACCAATCCTAAAAACAATACTTCCTTCTTATCATGTTTATTCAATAATTTCAATCCGCTCAATTTTCTGCACATTAATAGGATCGTTGCAATATTGCATATGCTTCAACTTGGATGGCCACTCCTTTCTACTCATTCAAAACCCCTTCTCTGCTCCACTCAATGCAAGACCTTTTCCCCCTTCCACTCAATTATACCCATGTTGATACTCAGCCAGTGAGACCCTTTTGCCATCTACTCAATGAGACCGAGTGTTAATTCATAACTTGCCAACAGAACACCTGCCCTAGGGATGCCTCACGCTAGGGGTCGGAGGGAGGGGAGGGCTAACTATGTCATTTTGTGTTCCCTGTATTTCATATATAATGCCATGTATGTTTCTGTTATAATCATTTCTGTCATTTTAGATTCACTTTGACAGGTGTCACAAATAACTTCCAGTGTAAAATACTATGCGAACAATCCTAAGGCTGATCCTGGCTAAGTCCCTTGTGGGATCATAACAGGATGTACAGCTAGGCGGTGACGTCAGGAGGAGATGGCTTGGAAATGTGCCGATTGGTGCGGGGGGGACTCGGAAGTGGTTTGGGGCGGAAATGAATGGTAGGCCGATTCCTTACAAGTTTTATCTAATTTGCTTAATCGGGAATGACTGCTTCGCGTACAACCCCCACTTTCAGACTTGCATGTTCAGCTGACATCAACGATGCCGAGGAAGCCTCACGTCACTTTTGGTTTTCCCTTGCCCAACCTGTGCCCATTCTCACGTGTCGGAGGCTGTCGCCTAGGGTAGTCACTATATTGTGTCACGTCCTTCACTGTATCGTCAGTTCATTTAGTCACATCTTCGTTATTCGTTTTCCGCACGACTAAGTTTTACAACTCATAAGACCTACTATCAGAGGTACTTTCCTAGTTCGCCCTGCTTTTCGAGGGTAGTTTCGTAGCACGAGTGTGTCTTGTGCGGTGGGCTGAAAAGCGGTTGGCTGCAAAGATTATTATGTTCAACTTGTCCGACTCCAATAGCGTTTGCGATTGCGCCGTTGCCGAATAGTCACGGATACCCCTTTGCCTACTAGACGAAGCTTGCGACACATGGATCTGGCGGCTTTCGACAAACTAATGCAGAAAGTGGCGGACATGTAGGCAGGAATGAAGGCGTTAATGATGGAAGTGGAACAATTACGAGATGAAAAATCCAAGCTATGCCAGGTGCGAGGTGAAGTGTGCCAGGAGTCGCCCGTTGAAGAAGATGAAACCTCTAGCCAAGGCGTAGGTGGCGTCGATGCAACATGCGAGCTCTCACGCAGCGTCGAAGGAAGCGATATGTGTCAGAATCCCAACCACTAGACCATTAGGATAAAAGGGCTTATTAAGTAGCGGGTCAGTGCGCCCATAACCCCCTAGGACAACGAGCCTGTAACCCTTCCCTAGGATCAATCGGGGATCTCCAGTGGACCTCTGACACCCCCCCGCACTGGGATGCCCGATGTGCACACACTGGGATTCGAACCCGAGACCTTTGCTCTGATACCATGTCAGAATCCCAACCACCAGATCATTGGGATAAAAGGGCTTGTTAAGTAGCAGGTCAGTGCGCCCATAACCCCCCAGGACAACGAGCCTGTAACCCTTCCTTAGGATCAATCGAGGATCACTAGTGGACCTCTGACACCCCCCCCCGCACTGGGATGCCTGAAGTGCACACACTGTGATTCGAACCCGAGACCTTTGCTCTGATACCATGTCAGAATCCCAGTCACTAGACCACTGGGATAAAAGGGCTTGTTTAGTAGCGGGTCAGTGCGCCCATAACCCCCTAAGACAACGTGCCTGTAACCCTTCCCTAGGATCAATCGGGGATCTCCAGTGGACCTCTGACAATAGGCAGACAACGCCGGTACCAGAAAATGCAGTTCAATCAAGATTAAACCAGCGAGCCCACCCCCGTTTACCCTACGGACAAGGATACAATAGTGGAGGGGTAGCTGTTTGGCGTGGAGGTCTTCTCTACTGCTGCAAACATCGATGATGACGCCATGCATATTAACTACGTGGTATTGCTTCCCTGAGCACCCGCACTGGAGTGGTGGCGACGGACCTTGGACACCGGGACCCTTTCAGGTGTAACACATGCGACAGACATTGCCTCAGACACTGCAAATCGACCAACATCATCGATATTCGGTATGACCACAATTCGCATGTGGAAGGAGTGGGGCGCAGCTTTGCGAGAGCGCTTCGAGCATGTATTAGAACACGCTCGCATGAAGCTGCGTGTTTGGTCGCAGCTGGCTTATATTTAAGACTGTCAAAATATAATTGTATGCATTATTCTATAACTGCCTGTAGTGTAGACTTAGTGTAGTGCTAAACTTGTTTGGTGGTGCACCTTGGTTGCTTTGCCTATATCCTTGTACCTTCTCTCTTAGTGAATCACATCATTCCTTCTCAACTTTTCCTCTCGACATTCTCCTTGGCTATGGTTTCTCCTAAGCCTCGTTTCACCTACTATTCTAACATGCTATCAGAGTAGGTCATTTCTAGGGCCTAACATTCATGGGCCCACCACCTACTGCCCTGCTAGCCTAGGCCCCGGCCCGTCGCCCCTTGGCGTCGCCCCTAGCCCCTAGGCTCGGCCCCTTGGCCCCGTCGCCCCTAGCCGCGGCCCCTAGGCCCCGTCGCCTCGGCCCCTTGGCCCCGTCACCCCTAGCCGCGGCCCCTAGGCCCCGTTGCCTCGGCCCCTTGGCCCTGTCGCCCCTAGCTGGAGCCCCTCGGCCCCTTGGCCCCGTCGCCCCTAGCCGCGGCCCCTAGGCCCCGTTGTCTCGGCCCCTCGCGACCCTAGGCCCGTCGCCCCGTCGCCTCGGCCCCTTGGCCCCGTCACCCCTAGCCGCGGCCCCTAGGCCCCGTCGCCCCCAGCTGCGGCCCCTCGCGACCCTCGGCCCCTTCGCCTCAGCCCCTTGGCCCCTTCGCCTCGGCCCCTTGGCCCCGTTGCCCCTAGCCGCGGCCCCCAGGCCCCGTCGCCCCCAACTGCGGCCCCTCGCGACCCTAGGCCCGTCGCCCCTTCGCCTCGGCCCCTTGGCCCCGTCACCCCTAGCCGCGGCCCCTAGGCCCCGTCGCCCCCAGCTGCGGCCCCTCGCGACCTGCCGCCCCTAACCGCGGCCCTGTAGCCTCTAGCCTCGGCCCCTCGTGACCTGTCGCCCCTAGTCGCAGCCCCGGTGCCCCGTTGCATCATGGAGGGTAAGGGGGTGGCAAGAGGGGTGACGGTTTCTTCCTGCCCGTGTGCCCTGCAGTCGCACGCGCAGCTCCGCCCCCGCCCCCCTCCCCCCCCTCCCCCCCCTCCATGGGGACGGGGGGGAGAGGGTGTGAGGGGGTGGCGGATGTGCCTCAGCAGCAGCAGCTGCCGCCACGCCTCCTCCTCTCTCTCTCCCTGCCGCACCTTGTGTTGGGAGAGGGGGGGGAGCTTGGAGGTTCAGGGAGAGGCAGGAGGGGATCTGCAGCACCAGCCCCCCCCGCCCCCCCTTTCTCCTCCATCCCTGGGGGGTGAAGGATTGTGGAGCAGCAGTGGGGGGGAGGGGATCTGCAGCACCAGCCCCCCCTGCCCCCCCCTTCTCCTACCTCCCCCTGCTGCGGGTGCAACAGTGGGGGGGAGGGGATCTGCAGCACCAACCCCCCCCGTCCCCCCCCTTCTCCTTCATCCCTGGGGGGTGACGGATAGTGGAGCAGCAGTGGGGGGGAGGGGATCTGCAGCATCAGCCCCCCCCCGCCCCCCCTTCTCCTCTCTCTCTCCCTGCCGCACCTTGTGTTGGGAGGGGGGGGGGAGCTTGGAGGTTCAGGGGGAGGCAGGAGGGGATCTACAGCACCAGCCCCCCCCCGCCCCCCCTTTCTCCTCCATCCCTGGGGGGTGAAGGATTGTGGAGCAGCAGTGGGGGGGAGGGGATCTGCAGCACCAGCCCCCCCCGCCCCCCCCTTCTCCTACCTCCCCCTGCTGTGGGTGCAGCAGTGGGGGGGAGGGGATCTGCAGCACCAACCCCCCCCGCGCCCTGCTGCCCTGCAGCCCTGTGCGCCCTGCTGCCCTGTTCACCCCGCGCGCCCTGCTGCCCTGCAGCCCTGTGCGCCCTGCAACAGTGGGGGGTGGGTTTGGGGTGGCGGGTGTGAGCACCCAGCTGCCGCCCCTCCTCCTCTCTCTCTCACTGCCACACGTGCCGCTGTGGGGGGGAGGGTAAGGGGGTGGCGTGCTTCTGGCCACCGTGTGAAGGCTTCAGCAGGGACCACCGTAGGCGGGGAAGGTGTTGGAGGAAGGGTGTGGTGGACGGTGTGAGGTTCAAGGGGGCGGTTGACAAGGGGGGTGAGGTTGAGGGGGGTGGCTGAAAGGGGGCGTGGAATTAGGGGGTCAGTAACTGGGGCTCGCCGCACTAGGCTCCCCCCACCTCCTCTCCTCCCTCTCTCACCCTCCCCCCTTTGTAAAACGGGGGTTCTTAAGAGGGGTTCGCCGCGTGGCTCCCCCACCTCCTCTCCTCATCCCTCTCTCACCCCTCCCCCTTTTGTAAAACGGGGGTTCGTAAGTGGGGCTCGCCGCGTGGCTTCCCCCACCTCCTCTCCTTATTCCTGTCCTCTCCCCTCTCTCTCTCTCTCTCGCCTCCTCTTCCTCATTTACCTCCTTGCCGTCTTCCACTGCGGGTGGTGTATCCCTTCAGGGGGTGTTTCTGCACATGATTCTTCACTGCAGGCAGTTAGGGGGTGTGTCAGAATATAATTGTATGCATTATTCTATAACTGCCTGTAGTGTAGACTTAGTGTAGTGCTAAACTTGTTTGGTGGTGCACCTTGGTTGCTTTGCCTATATCCTTGTACCTTCTCTCTTAGTGAATCACATCATTCCTTCTCAAATTTTCCTCTCGACATTCTCCTTGGCTATGGTTTCTCCTAAGCCTCGTTTCACCTACTATTCTAACAAAGACTACATGAGGTCATTTATGGCGCTTGCTGATCTGTTGGAGTGGTTTGACGAACCACACCTAACTAACGGCGGAGTCGGAACCACCGGCATGAGGAATCGTGAGGAAGAGGCTATTCGGAAAAGCTAAGAAGTTCTTAAAGTGACTTGGCGTATGTGCTACAGTAACGGAAGTAGGGATTAAATTGGAGGAAGAAGTGACTAGAAGGGGAGAGAAGTTGGGGTGAAAACAAGGCGTGGACCACAAGGGACCAAATTTCGGACTTAGGGAGCGTTCGACAAAGCTAGGCCGGTCGCGCGCGACTCAATGTGAAACAAGGGAAGTGCAGTTTGCTTGTGGGACACATTTGGGTTACCAACCTCACTAGTACTTGGGCTAGTATAAATTGTGTGCTGGTCAGGAATACAACCTTTGTGAACCTTTGAAAACCATTGGGACACTCAGTGTGTTGGAGAGCATTCGAATCTAGCTGTTGGCATAATTTCGGCACTTCGGTGAAATTCCAATAAAACTCCCGTGTGCAGGGCACGTTAAGGCCACGTCAAGGGCCAGTCAGTAGGATCCCCGTGAAGGACCTGCGAAGGCCCTGTCAAGGGCCCGTCAAGGCCCCGTTAAGAGCCCGTGAGCGGGATCTCCGTGAGAGTTCCATCTAAACCCCGTCAAAGGCCCGTTAAGGCCCCATCAGAGGCCCATGAAGGTCCCGTGACTGCAAACGCTGCGCAAGAGCCCCGTGAGCCTCTCGTGAGGCTCCCGGGAGGCGTATGTGAGACTAAGAGCTGGTATCAGAGCTTGGCAAACGGACGTATCGATCGGTGTGGAGTCACTTAGTGCGCTAAATGATACTTGTGGAGAAGAAGAGCTATTTAAACCTACGCCATGGCGGATGAGGCGAGTTCAGGTTCCAGCGTGACCATGGGTGACCCGCGTGTGAAAGCTCTTCTCGAGACCCTCGCGAGTGGCCGATTGGTGACGAAACCGCCGATTGGGCTCAGTGAAGCCCAACGCTTCAACGGAAACAACTACAACACGTGGAGTAAAAGGTTCATTCGGTGAGCAGAGGAGGTTGACCTTTTGCCATTTTATCGTCCAGGGGAGGAAACGAAGGAGAGAGTTGCACCTCCCATGACGGATCCACCAGATAGGTTGTTGGTGTTTAACAAGCAAAGTATGCAAGCGTTCTTTCAACTTTGTCATTCGGTTGTTGATAATATTGCGGTGGAATTGGACGAATTTGTAGGGGACTTCAACTCCGCACAGCGAGCGTGGAAGTACATTGAGTCCACATACATGGGCACGAATGATGCCAACAAGAAGGCAGTGAGAAAGCAACTGCTGATGTTGAGCATGGAGAAGGGCGAGAAGATTATCACCTACATCAACCGGGAAAAAGGCTACAACGATGATTTGCGAGTGATGGGAGCCGCGGAGATAGAGCACGAGATGATTGATTACACCATTCAAGGTCTTCCTAAGAAGTATGACTCCGACATCGGGATGTTCGCCTATCAACCGTCAGAGAATTTGATGAAGTTGCAAGATATTGTACAATTGATTGAGTAGGTGAAAGAGCCGAGGAAGAAGAAAGCGACTAAGAAATTTGAAAAGGAGAGGCCTACTATGGTGAATGCATTGAAGGATTTTGGAGCATGCTACCATTGTGGAAAGCGGGGACACAAGGCGTTTAACTGCTATGACAATCCAAAGAGCAAGAACTACAAGGAGAAAACGGGAGAGAACGATAATGGAGACAATGAGGGGGGGGGGTGTCAGCAGAAATGAGAATTCGGCAGCAAGTGTGACTATTGTGGGTGTTACAGACATCGTGCCGCAGATTGCTACTCCTGTTATAGTCTAGAGTCCACTTAGGGGTCGCGGATGCCCGTGAAACCGCCTAACCAGAATCTGATGACTTCGAGCCGCCTCTGTTCAAAACGCCGTCATGATCAGCTCCAATACTGTGCGAGGCTGAAACTTAGAATGAATTTAGCTTCAGGTGTCTGCTTTCCAACGTATATTGCTGCTTTCATCAGAGGTGTATGCGCTACGCAGTGAACAAAAACGTAAGCTCGGCTGAAAACGTGTAGTTTCATTGATGCAAGGAAGAGGTGAGTACAACATTGCCTAGGGGACTCTTAAGGGGTTGGGACCATCCTGGGAACTCAGAGAAGGTTGAGTCCTAGGGGAGAAAGGCTAGAGAAGTATGTGAAACGTCCTAGCTAGGTCAGCAAAGCCAACCACACTTGGATGTTCAGAGGTGTACTCAAGGCTACCAATAGTGAGTCAAGCCAACCATGAGTCAGCTTGTCTTCCCACTTGCACCCTCTTGCAATCTGCTTCCAGGAAGACCACACTTCTCAAAAGGAGGGTGGTAGAGTCCCACTTGACCACGTGTACTTTTTGTCTCATTCTCTGTCCCTGCACCATTGGCATGACAACAATGAAAGGGTGGCAAGGGAAATGCTGCCAACAGTGCACCATGACTACGGAACAGTAACTTTCGACAGCTGTCACATGCTGCTCCAATACTGGGTTGTCCTAAAACTCGGTGAACACCTGAAAAAAATGACAAAGGACTGCCACACTGATTTTCAGACAAATCAGAGCTTGGTAGATGAGTCAGCAGCCGAAATGGTGAACTCGGGTGTTACAAAAAAAGAGTAACACACACTTCCGGATGCCATAAGTCTTGAAACTAAAAATGTTGCCATGCCTTGTAAACTGCTTCAAAAATTCTGAAACTTTGAGGGTGTGAAGAACAAATGTTGAAGCACCTCCCCACAAAATTCCAAAAGCTGAGCAGGCTTGTAGGCTGAATGGGAGTGCGATGACCGTGCCACTATAGTGCTTTGGCACAACAGTTTGCACTTAATGTTTGGTTGGGTGTACACCCACATCCCAACCAAACCCAAATGTGATCTCCAAGCAATCTCCAACCCACCAATTGGAGATTGCCTTTGGATTACCCCCAATTCCCTAGGATTGCTCCCGATGCCCTACCCACCCTACCTTGCTCATTTCCAATGTACTTAAAGAGCTTTGAGCTCACTACTAAGATATCAATTCTCAGCTCAAGTTCTTACATGGTATCAGAGCTACTACTCCACATACGCGGATCTTGATCCTCCTACCTTTGCAGAATCATCTCCTGCACTCTTAGGCGAAGCCGCCTTCAACATTCGTTGCTCGACGTTAAGGATCGTCATCGTCCTAATCTTCTCGGCCTGACTTTTTCCCATGTCGTCCTCATCGCCGGTGATTCGCGACATCTTCTGTGGGCAGATTCTCTCTCGTGCTACTTTTCTCGCAGTCACTGTGCATCGGTTTCTGCACTTCTCTAAAGGTAACTGTTAGTAGCGCTTTCTTCCCATTCACCCCACATCACCGCAGTTCTGTTCCGCGGTTCTTCCCGCTTCGGCATAATCTTATTTTTCGCATCTCGTCAATTGTCGGGCTGCCGCCCGTCGCCTTGCAGCTTCTCTTCGGCCTGCCGCCCGTCGCCCTGCAGCGTCACTTCACGTCGGGCTACCGCCCGTCGCCTTGCAGCTTCTCTTCGGGCTGCCGCCCGTTGCCCTGCAGCGTCACTTCACGTCGAGCTGCCGCCCGTCGCCCTGCAGCGTCATGTCGGGCTGACGTCCGTCGCCCTGTAGCGTCATCTTCGGGCTGCCGCCTGCCCCGCTACAGCACTACTATCGCCCCGCAGCTGAACAGGTGAAGCCGAGCAGCCGTGTAGCACCGAAGCCGCAAAGCTGTGGGACAGGTCTGAGGGGGAGTAGGGTTAGTATTAAGTCGACACCACCGAAATTGGCGGTTTAAACCTAAACCCTTCCTCAAGATTCTCCTTCATAAACCCCACCTTAAAATTCTCCTTCATAAACCCTACCTTTGAAGTTCTCATCGGTGACTTAAGAGCGGCGCTTCGCACGAGACACAAGGGGCTCTTCATCATGGCCTTCGCCACGGCCACCATGTCCAACCCTATCACCCCACTCCGTCTTGAAGCCGACGGCACTAGCTCCAACTCCAAGGCATGGAGCTACGGGGTTGACAAGCACCTCCTGGGCCGTGAGGTGCATGGATTGGACCTCAAAGACGTCCTCCTCAACTATGGCAACTCAGCCCCCCATTCCCAAGGAGCCATCCGATCTTTCCGATGCTGTGGCAACCAATAAGTTTGAGGAAGATGTTGACAAGTACCGTAAGTGGGAGAAGGCCGATGTGGCTATCATTAGCGTTTTCATCGGCACTATGCCCCCCACCTCGTCAACACCTACCACAATTACCCCACGTCAAACGCCATATGGAAGCACCTTCAGGATCTCTTCATGAACAAGACGGTAGTCGGGGTTGCCATCCTCATCCCGAGCATGTTCCAAGTCCGCCTTGAGGACTCGCCGGGCATGGCCAACTACATCTCCAAGGTTCAGTCCATTCATGGCGAACTCAAGGAACTCGGCGTAGTCTTCCCCGAGCAAGCCCCAGCAGCAGCCCTTCTTGTCGGCCTCACTTCGGCATATGAGGTGATTAGGAAAATGCTCCTCACCCTCTCAACGGAAGACCTCACCTTCGCTAAGGTCTCTTCCGCACTCCTCTCCGTTGAGAAAGACACCACGGCTCAAGCCAAAGCCTATGCCCTCCATGCTCCCGTGCCCCAAGTGAGTGTAGCTTTGGTGCCCTTCCAGCGCAATCGCTTCCCTCCATGCACCTATGTCGTCAAATATGGCAACCGCAAGGGTCAAGTGTGTGGTCGCACTAACCACCCCCTTGCTACATGCTTCAAGAAGAAAAATGACGAATGGTACACCATCCATGAAGTCGACAAGAAGCCGCCAAACTGGATGCGCCCCCGTAAGGCCAATCTAGTTGAGGCACAGGACCCGGCTCAGGCTAGTGCGAGTGATAGTGCTCCTGCTGATTAATGAAGCTATTTTGCAGTACATCAGCTCATCACAAGCACCACAATACATAGAATTCACGCTCGACAGCGGGGCCACTCACACAGTGCTCAAGGAGACAATCTCCTTCAAACCCTACGCAACACCCATTACTCTTTTGGGAGCCGATTCCAGCTTCACCACTCTTGCCAAGGGTTCGT